AGCATTTTTGTATTAGGGTCTTAGCGCTCAAGATGAGGGGACCTAACAAACCTAAAGGATCGAAAATCCTTGCTATCTGTGACAGAAGTTATCTCTTTGTGGAAACGAACTGAGGATCCTGACAATTCGCCGTGTATGTGAAAATGTCGAGTTGGGAGTCCCAAACGATTCGGAGCGTATTCTTAAGGCGATTCCCTTCAATCCCACAATCTAGATCGAAGATTTTCTTGCCGATGTTCTCCAATGCAAATGGATGATTGGATGCCCATTTTCGAATACCCCCCCCCCCCACGGCTTAAAAGTTCTATTATCTCGTCGCGGATCGCGAGGATGTCTTCCAAGGTGTCTGCACCCGATAGAAAGTCATCCACGTAAAAATCACGACGAAGAAGCAGTGAAGCTTGGGGAAAGTTCACTCTCTCGTCCATGGCTAGCTGAAATAGTGTTCGAATTGCTAAAAAGGGAGCACATTTTATCCCAAACACTACGACGTTGATAAGAAAAGTTCGAACCTTAACTTCATAATACCACAGAATCTTCTAAAATTTTCTGTCGTCTGGATGGACCCAAACCTGCCGATACATTTTTTCTATGTCCGCGGTTATGACGAAAGAATGCGTGCGAAACCGCAAGATTTGTTGTAAAAGGGTATCCTGAATGGTGGACCCGGTCAATAGGATATAAATTAATGAAATACCGGTCGATGTTTTCGCAGACGCGTCGAACACCACCCTACATTTAGTCGTTTCGCTCGATTCCTTTATAACTGCATTATAGGGCAAATAATACCCGTCCTCGATGTCGTCCTCGCACAGTGTCATGTAACCTAAATTCAGATATCCTTGATTTTCCCTTTTGTACTCGGCCTGAAAGGCAGGGTTGGCGCTAAACACTCTCTCTCTCTCTCTCTCTCTCTCTCTCTCTCTCTCTCTCTCTCTCTCTCTCTCTCTCTCTCTCTCTCTCTCTCACGTCTTGAGTCGCTGCAACGCTCGATGTCCTGAGTTGCTGCAACGCTCGATGTTTAGATGAGTCTATAACGAAAGTTTCCGGTCGAAAAGGTAAGCGGACAGTGTAACGGCCTGAACTATCAGTGGTGGTCTTCACGTAGTGTTCCTCGCAGATCACGTCGTCGTGAACCTTGATAGGTCGATAGTCAAGATCCTCGACGACCATGAATCGTTCCAGGAGCTGGTCCAATTTCACAGCGTTACACGAGACGGTGCTAAGAGTCTCTGTGGGCATCGAACCTCCAGCCGGTACCTAGCCGAACGATGTATTCTGGAGCGTGATCTGTAATTTCTCGTTACCTAACTTGATCTGACCTATCGCGAGGGACGACATCGTAGAACCTGAAGCTAATAAGACGTCGATGGGCCTAGGCACGTGAAATTGGGGGTCTGCTAGTTTTTAATTTTTTTAATGTCAAATTGTTCTCGAGAAAACGCCTCATTGGGTAATGTTGAATGAAGAATGCAATGAAAACGAAATAAATGAGTCTGCGCCGAAAAGAACTAGGCACGATTAGAAAATAAGAAATCATGTAAACTATAGCCTACGTATGCATATAAATTAAAATATTGTTATTAATAATTGAAAATATATTGATTATTATTTATCCTTATCCATATTTACGGATAGCAAGTAATAATTAATTGGAATTTATACATACACTCATATGTATGAATTCAATTAAGTTAATAATAAACGATTGGCACTAAATATAGTAATTACAACTAAACCAATCTCAATAAATTTTGAAGCTACCCCAAATTAAAAAAAAATGATCAAATTTGATGCAATAGTTCGCGAGATAAGCCTGATTTTTGCGAAGCGCGTCGATTTGAACGCGGACTTTCAGTATTTCCAAGCGCGCGAGGGAGGCCCCCCACCACCGCCTCCGGCTTTTGGCTTTTCTCGTGCTGGAAATGAAACGTCATTTTAATTGTTAAAAAGCCAAAATATGTAAAGCCTTGTACAAAATTATTTATTTATGAATTATTCTCAAATTAAAAAGGATTAATATCGATGCACATTTTGTTCTTTATAAGTTGATCAAACTGATAAAAAAAGCTTCAAATACATATTTATATGTTAAATATTTATCCATGTTCAAATAACAATGCTTATCTCATTGCAAGGACTGAAAATTTTATATACGATAATTAAGTGTAAACATTGCAAATGTAATTTTGTAGTAATTTTCAGGTACAAGTCAGCTAAATATAGAAATACAACTTTTTAAGTAATTTTTTTTCAAAAATTAAAACATATAAAATATAAGTATACCATCAAAGAGATGTACAGAAAAAAATGCTTAAAAAAAGTATGTTCAATGGGATTCGAACCCGCTACCACGAAAATAAAAAGTGATGGTGTGCTTTAGCTACCTCGGCTATCGTCACATGTTATTTAAGTGTTATGGATGTTACATATGTTTATTAAGAAGAGGTGGGGCTTACGTTAAATTAATTCGTTTAAGTACTAGTGATGAGAGTATTTTTTAGATTAGTTGCAAAGAGAGAATCCTAAAAGATCATAATAAGACTTGTTTCCGACCACCGCTCCATCGCCGGCCACCAAATATCGAAAATGAATTCAAGCGCGCGTACATGCACGTTTCCCCTCTACGGCTGCTATAGGCCGAAGATTGCCGAGTGTCGTCGACTGTCTGCGCACGCTTGGAGGGGCGGCGGAGGAGAGCGAAACTATACCGCGCCTTCCCCAGCCTTCCCCTTCTCCTTATTCACGTAAAGTTTCTTATTTATTTTTTATCTCAACATTTTACACTCATCGATGTCGGATTAAACATTGTTTCTGATGTAAAATTTCACGCTCTTTCGATTGGTGCATGTTATTTTGTCGTACGTTCAGCCGTTCGCGAGATACAGGCGAAAAAAAATTTCAAACGTGATTTTCTCTTAGAACCCCTGGACCTAGAACTCTGCAAATTTCAGAATCGTCTTTTTCGACCTCAATTTACCATATATCAAAAATGCATCCACTTATGTGACAAAAACATTTCAGGCCTATTTTTACTGGACTATATCTTGGCTGCTTCTCCCTATCTACATGTTAATTTTTGTTATTATTATTTTGTTTTATTATTCTTTTATTATTTTTTTATATTAGTTATTATTTTTTAGTTATTAGTTATTATTCTTTTTTATATTTTGTTTTTCTCTTTTTCTTTTCCTTTATTGTGTTACTTTTTTATTTTTTATTTTACTGTTTTTCTATTATATTGTTTTGTCGACTTTTGGATATAGTTTATAGCTATTCCGTTTATTTTTTTTCTTCTCACTATTGTCGTTTTATTAATTATTTATACTTCTTTTTGTTTATATTATATATTTTATTATTATATTTATATGTATCTTGATATGGGTTATGCCCGTTTAATAAATTAAAAAAAAAAAAAAAAAAAAAAAAAAATGTGAACAAAAGCTCGAGATTTATAGATATGCGGGGAGGTGCGCGAGGAGAGGAATGACGAGCGCTAACAGAGACATTGCTCCATATCGTTCCTGCAGCTGACTGTTCTGAACCGACTGAAATAAAATACTTGTTCTCTACATTTGATTTGGCTCAAGATCGACGAAAATTTTGTAAAGATGCTGTATTAAAAATGCTTTAATCGCACGTACAGCTTACTGTAGAATCCATCACCACCACAATTAATGTATAACTTATCATTAATATATTCTTACTAAGATATTTACAATAATTTTTTCTTACCCCTTAACTAACATTTTTTTGTTTTAAATTTAGAAAAGTATAAAGTGTATTTTACTTTAACTTTTGTTGTATTATTATCCCATAATTATCATGTTGAACCCCAGTTACGTTTCATATCAAATTCTCCAATATGAGAATTCTATGCCAATTTTATTCCTTATTGTATTCTACAAATAGTCTTCTAATATATTTTTGTTTTATAACTAGATTATTTTATAACTAGAAATAGATAGAATTTTTATAACTAGATAAATAAAAAGTTCCAACAATTGGTACACTATTTATATGTCATCAAGATTATTATTTCTATTAGCTTTGAAAATTAAAAAATTTCATTTAATAGAACATGATTGATTTGTATGATATTTCAATTCTGATTGAATAATTATTGTTGATTAATGCAATAAAGAATATTCTTGTAATACTATCTTCAAATTTCAAAGATATAATTAGTTATTTTGTAGATGTTTAAATTTTGAACTTATTGAAAAATCAGGCTACAGCTATCAAAATCATAAATATAGATGTCTAGATAAGTTTAGAAAATTTTACTATCTTTGCGATATATTGTAATCTTATTTGATCAAGGCTGTATTGGCATATTTTACTTGATTATAGCCTTTAAAAATGAAAAAGTAGTTTTTCTAAAATATATAATTAATGGTTAAGCACATAATTTAATTTAGCTATAAATTATATCATAAAGTTATAATTTGTATCATATTGATTATATCACACTTAGTTAAGTTGATTATGAGCATTTTATCTTATAAAACAAAACTATATAAGCACAGAATGAAATTATTTTCTAATTCTAAAAGAACTATTGTTTTGAAAATAATTAAATTCCAATGTTAATTTGAGTTGACAATACATTTTTATACAAATAATTTACAGTTGTATAAAAGCTAACATCAAAATTTTTTATGCTAAAATACTGAACATTTATGACGTTTGCATCATTACCATAACAAACTTTAGAATGTGATAGTACCATTATAAATTTCTAAAATTATTTCAGTTATTGTTTATTTCAAAATTAAATACAGGTATTACTTTTGTTACTGGAAAACTGTATATAAAATACTTTTCGACAATGCTTACAATAAAATCTAGGAAATGATAGTACCATTATATCCATAAAAGAATTATATATATACATATGTACATAACATTATTATTATTACATTGTAAAACAACAGTTTGCAATTTATGAAATTAATAAAAGATTATAGGAATAATTTAATTGAAGAAACATAACTTACCCAAAATATAAAATTAACAAATATTAGAATATGTTTGATTGCTCTATAAAGTTGCTGAAAACCCATTTTAATACAAATAGAATTACTACCACTCGATGCATAAATAAATTACTACATTATCTTTATAGCGCATTAATGGTTATAAATTATCAATTTCTAAAAAATCTGTAAGAAATATATATAAATTAAATATTCGAATATTCGTTCACATAAAATCACATTTTTAATGTAATAAAACGATAAATTTTGAATGCATAAGATGTAATTTATATTTCTTACGGAAAACATTTTTAATTTTATAGGAGACTTTCCACTTTATTTACACGTACTGGCAGAATAAAAGATATTTATTTGAGCATTTCCTATGATCTATGATCAAGATCATCTTTTCTTTTTGGTCCACACTTCAGTCAACAGTTACAAATTCCGTCAACCTAGAAGGTAAATTTTGCATTTAAAATCTTAAACGACATGATTTTTAATGCTCGTTTGAGTCACCACAATAAATTTTTCTTCTCTATTCATTCAAAAGATATAACATAAAAATGCAGCTGCAAACTTAGATTTGTTAATATTAATATTTTTCTCTTACCTAAAATAATTTTCTCATAATTTTGAAAACATGTTATTCAAATGCTCATAATTCTCTCACTTTAAAATTGTTTTTCTTTTAAATAACTATGATGAGAGCCAATAAAACAATTAATTAATTATTTTGTATAATTTAATGCTAGGTGCATGTAAAAAGACCATGCGCCTGCGTAGAATTTATAGAATCTATATATTTTTATTGAAAGTGAAATCGGATAAGTTTACTCCAGCGCCTCTATCTTTAGCGGCGTAAGCTACAAGAGTAGACTGCAGTATGCTCCGTCGAAAGATTTTACATTACATGTAAGTAAGTTTTGTTATCAATATATTTATTTGTACCGTAATACTAATTACAAATCAAAATTCTATGTCAGCAATAAATATTACTTCACTTATTGCTTTGTAGGATTTTGAAGGGTTAAATTATGTTTTAATTTATATAAAACGATTTATAAAGATTGGTTCTTGATTAACACTGTTAAAAATTATTCTAATTTTAAAAATTTGGAAGAGTTGTCATCCGTGATACTGTTACGTCCCAAGCTAGAGCAGATTCCAGACGCTGAGGTGTCACTAAGCGACCGCTTGTATGAGAAAACTCTTTTTAAGGTTTCTCACGCAAGAACGCCTAAATGGCAGTTTTGTTGCCCTCCACGATCGCGAAAAGACACACGTATGTCTGCGAGTAGGGAGCGCCTGCTCTCACTCTTTCGCTCTGTCGTTCTCTATATTTATATATCATGTGTATCTCATAGAGGGGATGCGATTTCCCCAGCAGAGGTTTCTCGGGTGTAACAACGGTTAGAAATATATTTAAAGATTTCTAGTTATTATTTAATTTATTCTTTTTTGTATATCAGCTGTACGTATTTTTCCATCTCACGGAAATCGAAAGCCGCATATGGCTAGAAATAAATATACACTTGTGACTGTTTTCTTAAATCTGACAGTTCTCAAGCGAGTGCGGCCTTTTAGCCTAAATAAAAGGCAGTTTTACAACTGTACCTTATAAGATCTCTAGCCCTCGCCCGCCTACTAAATACAAATAGTATGTTGATCTCAGAAAAATAATAAAAAGAGTATGATGATGCGTCATTACGTCAATCTTGACCTACTAAGCTCGCGCAAAATCCTCTCCCGACAAGAGGATGCGGACCGATCAGCTGATGCCGCCTAACTCCGCGCATATCCGAGACCTCGCGAAAAAAATACTTCTCAAGATCTACCAAATCGACGCGCACGACCCTTACGCCCGCACACAGCCACTCGCGCACTCATAACCCGGACCGACACTCCCGCAGGAAGCCAGACAACGAAAAAGGTCGTATCCGAGATCAGCTGATTCGAGACGCCGGCAGCAAGTACTACTGGAGTCCCGAACACACTCACACTCGTGAACCGCACCGTTTCCAACACACTAAACCGGACACTTATGCACACACACATATACGATTGATCTCACGTACCCCGGGAAGCGATAGGAACGGCGGTAATGGGACGCGATGTTAACGCGTGAGCCGAGCGGCGGCCATGTTAGGACGCACTTGTTAGCAAGCTTGAGCTAGACCGAGAGAGGGGCAACCGAGCGCGTGAGTGTGAGAAAGACAATCGATAGGAGAGCGATCGGACGCGAGCGAGGGGAAATCGGTATGGCTAACGAGCGCGTGCGGAAAAGAAATAGGTAATAACGACGTGAAACTGACCGACGCGCGCGACTTGACCAACCAATCAGTAATAAGATAGGGGTAGACTGATAAATAGGGTAAAACCGAGCCTATCTGACCAACAAATAGGGAAATTAGGCGCCAAAAACCGGTCAGTAGTAAAATTGCGCGGGCTAGAACATTAAAACAGATGGCGCTGATGATCGGGTTAGCAACAACCTCGACCAATCAGATAAAAACCCACGATAAGAAGGAAAGGTAATTGACGAGACGCGACGCGACGCCGCGAATAGCCATAACAGTATTAGCGGAGCCTTAGTTGTGCGCGGTGACCTAAAAAGAAAAGCAGCAGCAGTGAAAAACAGTAGCAGTGAAAAGCAGCAGCAGCGAAAAGCAGTAGCAGTGAGAAGCAGTAGCAGTGAACGAAGCAAAGTAGTAGCAGCATTAGCAGCGGTCGTATGTTAAAGGGTGATCGAGAAAATAAGAGTAAGTACTCTCCTGTGTTCTTTCTTTTCTTTCTGATTCGCGCCCACCCGTAACCGAGACCGCTGTTGACCGACCCTAGTGCCGCTTGATCATTCGCGATCACTAACCAAACCGCGAATAGTCGGGAGTGCCGCATGACCTTCGCGCGATCGCGGAATTACTCGCGCATCAATGGGAGTGTCGCCTAACCTTCGCGCAATCGCTAAATTACTCGCGCATTTATTAGAGAGTCGCCTGACCTTCGCGCGATTACCGTAATAGTCCACGCATTAATCAGTGCCGCCAGACCTTTGCGCGATCGCCGCGAAAGCAGATCGCGATCGCGTCGCGATGCGCCATCCGCGAGCCTTGTAGGGGAATTCGGACGGGGTAGGCCGCCGTGGATAGATTTCTTGCGCCGAACAAAAGGAAGCCAAATTGCGTTGGGGTCGCGACGACCAGACGTCATTAGTGCTTTCCTCCTTTTCCCCTTTTTCACTTCGACCTGCGACATGACCAACCTTGGGCGACCCGGGTAATATAGAACAGACAATTATTTATCAATAAATAAGAATTCCCGCCCAAATTCTTTGTCGTCATTGACTCAACCTCAATCAACTTTCCGTATCCCCCGTAGCTATCGCGATCGGGTGTACGAAGCCGGCTAACGCGTCGACGCTTCGACACATTAACTAGCCGTTGCCCGTAATTTTCCTCACACGTTGGATAGGACTTCGCGCTCCCCCATTAAATCTCTAGGTGGCCAGCGAGGCCAGCATTCGGAGGAAGCAGCGAAGCACCCGACTCTTCAGCGACCAGAACCAGCTGATCTGAAGCGCTATCCGCTCTCCTAACGCGAGGACGGTAGCTGGCACCTAATAAATAATTATAGCTACAACTATTGGCTAATTTCGCCGCTGGTGTCAGCTGAGGCCGTGAAAAATTTTAATAAATCATTTTTCACCAGTCCTCTCCAGTCACAAGAGGACCATACGATTCAAGTACATCCTGATTTGTTGCGTTTTTTTATTTCAATTAACTGTAACGGCGGCTCAACATAAAAAGGGAACAGAAAAATACAGGCCACACGTTCAGCTCGTAAATCAAGATTATAAATCACGTGCAGCTGACAAAAGAACATTTTTTCGTGAACGACAGTTTTCGTTTCGCGCATCTGGCAATTTTCAGATGTTTGAAAGTGGACCATGTATAATAATCAAAGTGAGTTTACGACCGCATTATATGGAACAGCCAGATTGTGAACATCTTAGAAAATTCCCGAATAACAAGAAAATGTAGAGCTGCAGCGCACATGTGCATCCTATCCATAATACAATTATTTTATTTTAATTAACTTCTTTTCAATTTTATTGATTTCTTTTAAATTAAAGGAAGCACATTTTCTTGCAGATCTCTTAAAAATATGCGAGACTTGGCTGTTTCAAGTAGTTTTCAGGTAATTAAGAAAAGACTATTTTGATTAATAGTTTTTGTTTAATGCTCGAATAGCTTTAGTTTTTAAATAATTCATTATATAAGATTTGTAGTTATAAAAATTTGAATTGTGAATTGTATGTGTTTAATCGTTGAATGCACTCAACTTTGCGTTAAAAAATTAAGAATGTCTTGAAGAAAAGTTGATGATTATATTCATAATAATTAACTCCGATTTTCCAGTATTTCTTATGGATTTTTGGTAATTAATTAATGGTTAAAACTATTAAAATCTTGTTTGTTTTTCATTTATTTTTCAACATAATCTCCTTGAAGGTCGATACATTTTATTAAACGGCCTTCCAGTTTTTTTAAGCCATCAGAAAAATATGATTCCTGAAAACCCTCAAAATAGGCATTTGTTTCGTCGATGACTTCTTCATTCGACGTAAATCGTTGTCCGGCAAGCCATTTTTTGAGGTTGGGAAATAAAAAGTCACTGTGAGCCAAATCAGGTGAATATGGTGGATGGCCAATTAATTCGAACTTTAAATCGTTAATTTTTGCCATCGAAACTGCACACGTGTAAACTCGAGTATTGTCTTGAAGAAAGAGGCATTTTTTTTGTTCAAGTGAAGACGTTTTTCTCTAATTTTTTCTTTCAGCTGATGTAATAATGATGCATAATATTGTCCAGTGATCGTCTGGCCCTTTTCCAAGTAGTCGATGTAGATGATTCCATACGCATCACAGAAAACCGTGGCCATAATCTTGCCAGCTGACTTTACTGTCTTTGCCTTCTTTGGAGCTGGTTCTCCTGCTGTAATCCATTGTTTGGACTGTTCTTTGGTTTCAGGAGTGTAGTGGTGTACCCATGTTTTGTCTACAGTTACGAGACGATGCTAAAAGTCTTCCGGATTACGACGTATGCGTGCCAAAAGAGCCTCAGAAGCAACCACGTGAATTCGTTTGTTTTCAACAGTGAGCAAACGCGGCACCCATCTTGCTGGTATTTTTTTCATCCCCAATTTTTCACGCAAAATTGAAATGATTGTACCCTTTGATACTCCTGTTGCCTCAACCAATTCTCGCAATTTTAATCTTCTATCACTCAACACCATATCGTGGATTTTATAGACCATTTCGTGCGTACTCACTTCTACGGGGCGTCCTGAACGAGGTTCATCTTTTGTTGTTGTACGACCGCGTTTAAATTGATTTATCCAGTTACAAACAGTCTTAAACCCAGGGACAGACTTGCCATGAACGGCGTTCAACTCAACTATAATTTCTTTTGGTGTAAGGCCTTTCAAATGAAAATGTTCTATCACCACTCGAAACTCTGATTTTCCATTTTTCAAATAAACCAATAACTTTTTGTTCAACCAACGCTTAAAAAAAACGATTTAATGAATCGAGCTGAAACATTGTAGGATATCTAGTTAGTAATATTGCTTGCCAAAAACATCATAATTTAAGCGTAACGAGCGCTATCTCTTGGATTTCGTAAAGACTTATTTATGCCCCCTCGTACATGGACTGCCGTCTCTGGAAAGGTGGCCCGAACCTTTGAATAAGGCTGCCTCC